GCTGTACATTCATACACATAAGAAACAATAAAATCAGCTGTGCAGTAAAAATCAATATTACCCGATTTGTAAAATCAATAACAGATGACAGATCAGTACACGTGTATGTGTAGTTACGGATCTGGGGCCATATTCTTGAAAAATATCGCATACGATATTTATCATTGCGCAGTTATTTTCCGATATATTTTAGCTGCGCAATGACAAATATCGTATGTGATATTTTTCAAGAATATGGCCCTTGATCGCGCGAGCTCTACGCGGTATCATTGGCAAGCTCTGATCGCTTATAACTCAAAAAGCAGCCTCAACATTTTTGTATTAGAATTTTTGACTCTATTTTATCTCTAGAATATACTATTAAAATATTGTATGGAGGTTGTGAGACACCCTGTATACGTATATATATATTTGGTGGTGGCAAGTTGAAATTAAATTATAATTTTCAAATTATCTATATTTTTAAACACATGCAGCACATCTCAGATTTACTGAAAAATATTGTACAAACCGATCTTTTAACATCAATCAGTTTGATATACTTTGAAGATAGAAAATTTTTCAATTTTTACCTTACATTTTTTTTATTAAGCAAATTTTAAAACTTGATTCTCAAAAACCTTTGTATGTATTTTTAGCGATCACTGTAAAAAAGATTAAGGAAAGATTAATTCCACGTTCGTCAAAGAATCCAAAACAGTTTTTAAAAAATTTTTGGTAACCTCTTCATACTTTTTTTTTAATTGAAAAATTCTAGATTAAAAATTTTAATTTTCTTAACCACGTGAAATATATTTTATATTTTGTTAAATAAGGAAATTTGTGCATAATGAAAATAAAAATGCTTCTTCCCTCATCCTTCTGTTTCTCCCCTTCCCTTTTTTTCTCTTTTACACTCTATAACACATAGTTTGAATAAACAAAAATTGAAAAATTTTAGATAATTAAACAAGTAAATATATACACATTGGTAGTAAATATTCATTTATATTATGTCGACAATTTATGTATTAAGAAATTGGAATAAGTTAATAAAAATTATATGGAAAAGCAAAGAATAAGCAACTCAAAAATGAATGTAAATTAAATATAATTGTTTTGAAATATTACAATAAATGAAACACATACAAAAGAAATAATTTCAAAACTGTATAGTAAATTGCATGATTTTTTGTTTCCAATATCATAATTTAATATGATTGCAATGAGAGATTAGAAGTTTTAAAAGATAGAGAGAGAACAATTGTCTTTTCCTCTGTATCACGGAAAAATATTTATATTATTGCCTTTTGAAGGTGTCTTTTATCCTATCTTATGTCTTTATCTTTTACTGTTATTGAAACTTTTGTCCTGTAAAGAAATATACTTGTATCCAAAACATTAGTTTTTATATTTTTATTAAAGACCGATCTTTTCGTATCAACATATTGTATATGGCTATCGAATTTATATAGATCATACATATATATATATATATAGAGAGAGAGAGAGAGAGAGAGAATTGCTGCAACAATATATCTAATGTAGATATTATACATAATTATATTATAACGTATGTAACATTTATATGCTATAATGTGTAATATCGGTACATTAACGCTCGGTTAGCAGCAGAAAAATCTTTAAGAAATCTTTCACTTTCTTTATCTATTTTGATACGAATATTACAATGACATTGGATGACATTACCATATGATTGCGCTCTATGCTGAGAAGGATGATAGGAAATCAGTAACTATTTTCTTTAGTTTTGCGTCCGACGCTTCACTAATTATGTTTTCTTTTGCAATAGTAGCAAGAAGATCTTGCTGAGTAGATCTAGAAAAGAATATTACATACATTAAAAATATTTGCATTAGTTAAACACATTAAATACTATATTAGATACCTGATGTGTGCAAGAAATTCTTTTTCAAAAGCAGTAATCTTTGTAGGATCCATCTTGTCGAGATAACCACGTACACCACAGTATATGACAGCTACCTGTTCCTCAATAGCCATAGGTACTAAAAAGATATATATCAGATATGTAAAAGTATGTAAAGATACATAAATTAAGTTATACTAAAAGAGAAAAGCGTTAAAATCATTAAAATTGTGACATCTTACCATATTGTCCCTGTTTGAGAAGCTCTGTTAATCTTACACCACGATTTAGCAACTGTTGGGTCGCAGCATCCAAATCGGAACCAAATTGAGCGAAAGCCGCTACTTCGCGATATTGAGCCAATTCCAATTTCATCGAGCCAGCAACCTATATGCAATTAAATATCATAAAATATCAATGTTTTATGTAAATTTATCATATAAATTTTTTAAAATTATAATTAAGTACAAATAAAAAATATTATCTATTTGTATATATCATTTTGATGACATAATTCATTGGTATTATAATTGGATGTATTGAAAAATTTAACATACGATACCTGCTTCATGCCCTTAGTTTGAGCAGCGGATCCAACACGTGATACAGATAAACCTACGTTGATAGCGGGTCGGATACCTTTATAAAACAATTCCGTTTCCAAGAAGATCTGACCATCAGTAATAGAAATTACATTCGTAGGAATATAAGCGGACACATCACCGGCTTGCGTTTCAATGACGGGTAAAGCTGTTAACGATCCCCCACCCAAACTTTCATTCATTTTAGCCGCTCTCTCGAGCAGACGAGAATGAAGATAGAATACGTCGCCAGGATAGGCTTCACGACCTGGTGGTCTTCTAAGTAGCAAAGACATCTGCCGATAGGCAACAGCTTGCTTGGATAAATCATCATAAATAATTAAAGCATGCTTTCCATTGTCTCTGCAAAATAATAATCGATATATTGCACACAGGACATATGTATTATTTTTTTAATATAAAAAAAATAAACAAATAAATAAAGGATATAGTATAATACAAATGTCAATTTAAATATTCACCTAAAAAACTCTCCCATAGCGCATCCAGAATATGGAGCCAAGTATTGAAGTGGTGCTGCATCGGAGGCAGTGGCAGATACAATGATAGTGTAATTAATAGCACCACTATCCGTTAAACGTTTTACAATTTGCGCAACGGTAGATCTCTTTTGACCAATAGCAACATAAATGCAATATAATTTCTTCTTTTCTTCTCCACCATCATTAAAACGTTTTTGGTTGATAATTGTATCAATGGCAAGAGCAGTCTTTCCAGTCTGTCTGTCTCCAATGATCAACTCACGTTGACCACGACCAATAGGTACCAAGGAATCCACAGCTTTAATTCCAGTTTGCATAGGTTCTCTGACCGATACTCTGTTAGAAGAAAGAATATATCATATGCACGCTATCAATTTAATTATTTAAGTCATCTATTTTTTAATCTATCACGAAACAGAATGATATCAATTGTGATTTTCACATGAAAATGAAATATCACTATTCTTAAAGTTTTGCACAAGGAAATTAAGAGGCAACAGATTACAAATTTATTATTATATATTACCTGGGAATAATGCCTGGAGCTTTTGTTCCAATACGGAATCTCAATTTGCTGTTTAAAGGTCCCTTGCCATCTATAGGATTGCCCAAGGCATCGACAACACGACCCAACAATTCTTCACCGACAGGAACATCAACAATGGCACCAGTACGTTTCACGATATCCCCCTCCTTAATGTGCCTATCATTACCGAATACGACAACGCCTACATTGTCAGGTTCCAAGTTTAACGCCATACCTTTCAAACCTGAGCTGAATTCCACCATCTCATCAGCTTGGATATTCTTCAATCCATATACACGCGCGATACCATCTCCAATGCTGAGTACTCTGCCGGTCTCTTCGAGATTAGCCTAAAATGAGATCAGCCTTGAATTAATCTACTTTATAAGATATATGAAAATAAAATATTGTTTTTAAAAACTACAAAATAAAATTTATAAAAACATATATATGTCACTGCATATAATATCGAATGATACAAGTAATACGATAATTTGTCTCTTTTAAAGCATTTACCTTTGGTGCCGATCCAAGAATACGTTCTTCCAGGATGGAAGAAATTTCCGCTGAACGACGGCTGCACGAGACATGATATTTGCAAGAAGCTATAGCAGTTGCAGGCCAAGTAATCTAGTTAAAAAAAATAATACATATATATAGATATATATGTATATATAAAAGAAATGTATTACATAACTTGCTGCTCCAACACATTTTATGTAATAGACATATACTATTGACATTTCAAGCATCGTTAAATTTTGTCATCGATCGAGCAATTTATAAATCAAAATACTTGGTTTATTTTTTATCTAGTCTGACTTGCGATCGAAAGTAACGAAAGGATAAAACCGGAGAATAGTGCAGTTCTGATAAGTGGAAAATGTCGGCACGTTCCGCTAGGTGTATAACGCGTCACGGGTACAAGTATTAATAAGAGATTTCTTTTTTGAAATTACCTGAGCCGTGGTATTCGGCAGATGCCTAATTAAAGACGAAGTCAAACGTAAGGATAAGAGTGCCATCTTTTTCAATTGATGATTACGAGAATCTCGATTGCTTCGAAGTAGAATAGGGACTGGTAGGGTAGGAACCAGCGAGAAGATCAAAAGAACGTCCGTGATACCCGTTGATTCCCCATCTACCCCCCACTCTGAATACCAAACTCCATGCGCAGGAAATCGCAGCCATCGATTTGCTTTCGTAATTGGATGTGTTCGAAAACATCACCCGTGTGCACAAGAGTTTCGTCATAAACTATATGGTATGTTCGGAAACATCACCCGTTATGGCCCTCGCACACTGGACATGATGAGCGATGAACGATGGGCGATATCCAATGAGAGCTTTATTTTTTCGGAAAAGCAGAGCTCTCATTGGATATCGCTCATCGCTCATCGCGTCCAGTGTGCGAGGGCCATTATTGCTTTTTCGAAAAAGCAGTGCTCTCATTGGATAACGCCTATGCTATCGCTATCGCCTAGCATTGTGCGATAGGCTTTAGATAGATAAAGCTCTGTCTATATGTAATATATCTATGAACGGCGCCAAGCGCTTGGATATTTCGTTTTTCGTTTTGTCGTATCGATTATCCTTCCTTACCGCATATGACCGATCGTTTTCGTTTAAAAACAAGCGCACAATAAGAGAAAATAAGATTGTATGGAAAAAATTTTGATGACGCGCGTGAAATGTGAATGTGATACTTGCCAATATTTTACGATTCTTCGTTTCGTTTTCGGAAATGATATTTCGGAGATTTAGCAAATTATTTAAAATTCTAATCAAGTAACAATTAACTGCCTTTATGACTACGATCGATAAATGAGTCATTTATAACGAGAGAGAATTATGAAAATGCATATACGCATACATATCTCATATTAGAGTTGATACATATATGTATATAGACATACAACTATGCATATATGTAATTCCAATATATGGAGGATTGTCCGTTTGTAAAATTTCTTTATTTTATATCAAAGAATTGTCCAGTGACAAAGAAGTGAGACAATATGGACTCGGCTGCGACGGAGTTGGAACATATAGAGAAGCTGGCAAAGGAAGCTGAATGCTTAAAGATACGTTTGGAAGATGAGCGACAGAAGTTGAATGATATCACGCGTAATTGTCGGAATTTTATTTGCTAATATGTTGCTTACATACAAATATTTGCAAACTCTTAATCTCCCTTTAATATTTTATATATATTTATGTTAGTTGTTTAAAAAGATTGAAATACACTATATATACTTTATACACATACCACATACAGAGAAATATAATTTTTATTAATAGTAATATATATATATACATGCGGGTATTTATCATAATAAATTACGATAAATTTATCATATATCAAGGAAAAGAAGGCAAATGAGAGATTCTCAGTGTAATAAATCGCTATTGATGATAATACAGTGTGTTCTGTAATGTTGCAGAGGTTTAGATAATAAAGTTACAGTATATACATTAAGTCTGGAGGATGATGTTTCGGCTCACAAGAAAACTGTTGGCACACATACATCATACATGTCATGCTGCGCGTTTCCCAACAGTGATCAACAGATTTTAACGGGTAGCGGGGACAGCACATGTGGTTTGTGGGATGTAGAGAGCGGACAACTATTACAGAGCTTTCAAGGGCATTCCAGCGATGTCATGTCCATTGATTTAGCCCCGAGTGAAACGGGGAACACATTTGTGTCAGGTGGTTGCGACAAATTGGTCTTAATTTGGGATATGCGCAGTGGCCAATGTGTGCAAAGTTTTGAAGGACATCAATCTGATGTTAACTCAGTATGTAGTAGTTTCTACAGTTATATATCTCGTGGCTTGTCACATAGTATTGTAATAAGTAAAAGATTATTAATGATTATAATAAGTAACATATTTCATATCTTTTTCTTCTTAAAATATGAATGTTTAATATTGTATTATTATATTCGCGATGCAAACAGGTGAGATTTCATCCAGGCGGTGATGCGGTAGCAACAGGTTCGGATGATGCTACTTGTCGCTTATTTGATCTGCGCGCTGATAGAGAAGTCGCGGTATATGCAAAAGAGAGTATAATATTTGGAGCGAATGCGGTTGACCTGAGTGTAAGTGGCCGGTTGCTTTTTGCCGGATACAATGATTATACGGTGAACGTGTGGGATACCTTAAAGTGCCAACGAGTGGCATTATTGTACGGACATGAAAATCGAGTTTCATGTCTAAGGGTTTCCCCGGACGGTACTGCCCTATCTACTGGAAGCTGGGACTCGACTTTAAGAGTTTGGGCTTAAGATTATTACTATTATCTTAAGAATGTTGGGATACTCTTGCTATTCAGCATATAGATAATATATATATATCCTGTTTTGTCCTATTTATTTAGATTCTCGCCTTTTCAGCTACTTTTTATGTTATTCCATGTTTTCATAAAATACCATATATATATAATACACAATCATAACAATATAAGTTTATGGATATTCAACAGTATATTCAGCTGCATCAGCTGTTGTAACTGGTATATATATACGATGAAGTCGTCAGTTTAACATGACGTTCTTATGATGTGTGTTTTCTTGTAATTAAAACTAAATTACATTCTATAAATTCTTTCTCATAAATCCGTTTTCACCTTCATATCAGCTGATAATAGTATTGTGCGAAGTAACATATATCACAAACTCGCGAAACTCTTAGAAACTTTAAGATCTCCTGCGTTATGTGTATTAAAACTGCGCAGATACTTCATTAATTTTGGATAATGATTAAAGATACAATTCTTTGTTTGATATAATTTTGTGTTATCACCCTTCACGTTTTTTGGTGGAAGAAAAGTGGGCAAATGAAAGGTTTTCGAAAAACGATTCTTGCACATAGATGTTTGCAAGCTCGATATACTTAATTTTTAAGAAAGGCGATTTTATTTTACATATTTATCAATTTTCATGTTTTCTTGAAAAAATAACATATACACCTCTTTGAAGAATAAACTCGAAGATTATAGGTATATGCAAAGTCGAATAAATCGTTCAATGTGCAATCCATATTTAAGGTTTAGTTTATTGATAAGAAACATATCAGTAACACGATCGGCTTCTGCATTACATTACTGGGTACGAATTAATTACGTCTGACGTGTGTCGCTTAATAAACATATATATATATATATATATATATATATATGTAAAATTCGTAGCACAAAAAATCAATGTATATATGACAAAAAAATAAAGGTTTCATAAATCCAAGATTTTTTGTAAACGTTATTTTGTTTTCTCGTGTATCTTTCCAGTTTCTCATGTGAAAATTGGTGCGAATTTATTAAATATTGACTATTAAATATAAACTTTGCGTATGTTTTAAAATAGTAAATTTTTTGACAATGTATGTATGATATCTAATTGTTTAAATATTTTTAAACATTTCTTTCTCTCTCCCATATAATTTTATATATACATGAAAAGAATTCTTTCTTTTCAGTTATACGACTTACGGCCCACCCTATATATCTCGATCAGCTGGCCATCTGTCTGTTAACTGATAAGTTCTTCGTAGCAACATTAGCACCTAGCACCAGCGACCGATGTATGTACAATTCCCATAACAAGTGCCGCGAGTCTGACTTAGCACTTTGCGGTTACTTGTAATCATTGTTATTAAAAAAAATCTTATTTTAATTTGGTATTTTACAGATACAATAACATTTTTATATATACTGTAGTGTGCTACGTACGAGGAATAAACATGCCTCAATACACAGGTATGTACCCGACTATCGTAATATGTAACCTAAAAGTGTATAATATCAAATTTATTTAATAGACAAAAAAGTGAAGAAAGAGTTTATTGTAATTCCTTTAGCATGTGTCTGTTTACATTAAAAGAAGAAATCTTATTCTAAAATTTATTTTATTAGTTATTATTGAAAATATAATAAAAAATATATATGTTTGCCAAGATAATCTAGCAGGGCCTAAATCAGATTTTGAACTTGAACTTGAAGCTAATCCGTTTATTTTATTTATTTTTATAAAATATATTTTTATTATTTATGCAATATTTGTTATACAACATACTATTAATCACCAATGAAACTTCTTGTTTGCCGTGATTATATCTAATAATTTGATTTTTTTAAAATAAAGTTATATTTCCGACCATTTTATATTTATGTTATGCACGCAAGATACATACATATAATAAAAATCTATTTTTGCTATTTTTGTTCAATATATTATATCTTATGGATTGTCGATATGTTTCAGTTAAAGTTAAATGGGGCAAAGAACTCTTTTCCAATGTAGAAGTTAATACCGAGGAGGAACCAATGTTGTTTAAAGCACAGCTCTTTGCTTTGACTGGGGTTCAACCAGAGAGACAAAAAGTTATGCTTAAAGGAATGACACTTAAAGATGATGATTGGGGCAATTTGAAACTTAAAGATGTAATAAAGAAATATATATATATATATATATACAATACATATACAATTGTTCTAGTTGTAACCGAAATTTTATTATATACCTGAAAGATTTATAATCCATTGTTCATTGTATTAGGGTGTCACAGTACTTATGATGGGTTCTAAGGAAGAAGATGTGCCTACAGAACCAATGGAGAAACCAATATTTTTGGAAGATATGAATGAAGCTGAATTAGCTACAGCTTTAGATCTACCAGCTGGTTTACATAATCTTGGCAACACTTGCTATCTGAATGCGACAGTGCAATGTTTAAAAACTGTGCCAGAATTACGAGAAGCCTTGAAGATTTTTCCAGGCGGTTGGGCGACAGCTGCGAGTTTATCATTACCCGCGCAAAGTATAACCGCGGCATTAAGGGATCTATATGACAATATGGATAAGGGAACATCTAGAGCGCCGCTTGTTCTAGTTCAAATGCTGCATTTAGCTTTCCCAAGATTTGCAGAAAAGACTGAACAAGGCGTATTTCAACAACAAGACGCAAACGAATGTTGGACCGAGTTGATTAGGATGTTGCAGCAAAAGTTACCTGCAAAGGTTATTGTTGATGTACAATATGTGCCAGCAATTTTTTCAAATTTATTTCTTATATACTTATATGCATGTATTATTTATACAAGCAATTTATCTATAGAATAATTATTGTAAGCTTTGTGTATTTGTAACAGAACAATGCAGATATATCAGAAGATGATACCGAAGCTTATAAACCACGTTCATTCATTGAACAATATTTTGGAGGTATATTTGATTATGAATTAAAATGCGTTGAATCCGAGGACGAACCAGCCACTACTGGAAAAGAAGAATTCTTACAATTGAGCTGCTTTATTTCAACCGATGTCAAACACATGTATTTCGGGCTTAGGAACAAAATGCAGGAGCAAATTACGAAAATGTCCCCGACGCTTGGAAGGAATGCC